CCTGTAATCCTAGCACTCTGGGAGGCCGAGGCAGGCGGACTGCTCAAGGTCAGGAGTTTGAAACCAGCCTGAGCAAGACCCCATCTCTACCAAAAATAGAAAGAAATTAATTGACCAACTAAAAATATATATAGAAAAAGTTAGCCGGGCATGGTGGCACATGCCTGTGGTCCCAGCTACTTGGGAGGCTGAGGCAGGAGGATTGCTTAAGCCCAGGAGATTGAGGTTGCTATGAGCTAGGCTGATGGCATGGCACTCTAGCCTGAGAGACAAAGTGAGACTCTGTCTCAAAAAAAAATAAAAATAAAAAAATAAAAGCAAAACTCCATCATCTGCTTTCAACCTCTCCCCTCATATCTCCTCTTTTGGAGGCCTCTGCCCATCAAGATGCCTTTTTTGTTAGATACCCTCAAGCCTCCCCCATGACATATCTGAAAACTCAAAGGCACTCCTCTCAACTCCGTCACTCATTTTGTGACACTGGGCACATCCTCTTTCCTCCCTGTCGATTCCTCATCTCTAAATTATAAAGCCAAAGTGGGTGTTCTCTAAAGTCCCATCCAGTGCTGGCCGTCCATGTTAGCACTGCCATTAAAATGTTTTATCTGCAACCTAATTTCCACAGTTCACTGCCAAAGACACATAGATGGTATTTTCTGATTATTTATGAGCCTAGTGGAGCTACTGGCCAATGAAATAGAACATTACAACAAAGTGATCTCAGCATTTTAGATGATCTTGCTATTTTGTTTAAGGCCCACACACAGGTTTAACTCTGCAAGTTAAGCAGTTCCAGGTGAAATGGCTAAAGCAGATGATCTGATCTCCTGTTGACTACAGCTCCTTGAAGAGTGACCAGTACACAGCAAGCACTCAATACATATTTGTGGAATATATTCTGAAACCAACCTGCTTGCTATTTGTATTTTTGTTTTTACTAATTATTGCTAGATGTTTTACTATTTTAAATTTCTCCTTTTATAAAGGATTTATCATAAAATAATCATTTCCTAGCTGCTGCTTATAAATTCCATTACAGTCCAAAAGGAGAGAGAGATGCCAATGTTTTAAGAAGCCTTACTCCGACTATGATGCCTTCATGATTTCATTTTATGCAGAGGTAAGAGTACATGTTCAGACATTACATGTTCAGACCCGTCTGCCCAGGACAGCCACTCCCCCGTGTGCTTTCTGCCTTCTTTCTTTCCTTTTGGAAGGCTTTCCAGTCTTAAACCTAGCACCACACTTGCTTCCTCTAATGTGTTCCCTCCCCACCCACTCCATGAGGCCATGTAACTTGGAAGTGTTTATTTTCACCATCTGTGCCTGAGTGTGCCTGTGTGCAGAGCCCGCCTTGTGTTTAAGGCAAGGGCTGCCCCACCCCCACTCTCCCACCCTCACGGTTCTCTCCAGAAAGCCCAGATGAGGGTTCTTAAAAGTCCTGACTCCTTCCTTCCCCTCCCCCACAGCTCCATCCTAAACCAATGCCCTTGGTGTCATTATTAAAGTATCCTCCACAGAAAGCACTTTTGAAATACAGAAGATCCCCTTCTGTAGCTGTTCCCACTCCAGCCTGCTTCTCATCAACTGAGTACACTCTCCTCCACTCCCACACTTCAGCTACAAACATCAGCTCTCACACCTGCTCTAGGGCAAGGGTACCAAGTATTTACCTCTTACTGCAGCACTTTGAGAATTACTCTGCACTGAGATCTATTCATGTCCGCAAGGATCTCCCCTATCTGATGGTGAGCTCCTGAGGCTTGGAACTACATTTTATTTGTATCTTTAGCACACTGTAAGATGCTTAGTAGTAAGTGTTTGTTAAAAAAAAAAAAAAAAAGTGGGATTGTCAAGAGAACCTCTCTCCCAGGCCCCAGCCTCTCTCCTTAGCATCAAACATATTTCCAGTTGTCTACCGGCCGCATCTATCTAGCTGTCCACTATGGGCACCTGAGAAGGCTCCAGTTCTCCATAGCCACTAACTAATTATTCCCTCACCTCCAAATCTCCTGATTTCGATGTCAAGCCACATCAACTTGGCTTCCCAAGGCAGCAGCAACAATACACTCTTCAATCACATGCAACTAGTCAACAAGACCTATGATACGTTTTACCTCAGTATCCACTGCCTTCTCTCCATTCTCACTGCCTACTTTGAGTTCAGATCCTAATCTCTAAAGCAGATTCTCAAACTTCCAGCCCCTCTTCCACACCACCACAGGAGGGATCCAGAAACACAGTGATCACACCACATGCCACTCACATCTCTCCCACTGCAGAAGTGATAAAGTCCCATCTCCTCACGTGGCACTCAGGGCCTTTCTGGGTCTGGTCCTGATTATAGCACTTGTATCCACATACATGCCCACCACCCTACGATCCTCTCCATGTAATTTTCAACCTAACCAAGCCAAACTCACCCCCATGGCCTCCGATCAGCTGTGTCCACATGCCTCTAAGTACACAGGGCCTCCTCTAGATGGAATCCTTTCCCCCAGAGTTCCCTATGGGCCCATTTTCATCCTTCGAGGCCCAACTCCCATGTAATTTTTGTGAAGCCTTCCTCAACTAATGCCCAGTCTATCATATTTATTTTATTTATAACAGCTTCCTTCTAAAATGGGTTTGAAGCAGCTTACAAATGATACATACACTGCAACTAATTTTTTTTTTAAGAGAGAGAATGTCAGGGCAAAGACAAGGGCAAAAGAGATCAAAGTTAGGAAGTAATGGAGCATTCAAAACCTGTCATAAGGTCTCATACTCATCTTATTAGAGGTAGATTGGCCCTAAGTTCTCTATCCAGAATGGGTTACTCTTCTATGAGCTTGCTGCCAGCTGCATATGACTGTACTGTAGCACTTCCCATATTTTTTGGTAATTTGCTCTGTGTCCCTCTCCCTCACTGGATTGGGAAATTCCCAAGGGAATACATAATTTCTGACTCATCTCTGTATCCCCAGCATGTAGCATATGACTCAGCACACAACTGGTGCTCAGCAGACATTTGTTGAATGAGTGTTATCATGGACAGGGAAAATGGTACTAGCACTTGTTCAGCTCCCTGCCAGGTATGTGAAAAAACATTTTATACTCACAAAAAAATTACAAAGCTAAGAAATGGCAGAGCTAAGATGGGAACCCAAAACTGTCTATCTCTCCAAAGCAACTGCCCTCTCCACCATGCATTGTGTTCCCTATTGTCACCATTACTATGTACCCGAATACCTGCTGCTTCACAACCCAGTTAAAAACAAAACAAAACCCAACACAACACCCTTCTCCAAGAAGCCTTTCCTGCTTACTCAGGATAAAGGTGTGCCTGAGTCCAGCCCCTGGCCTTTCATAGCACCTAAGTACAAATCTGTAGAAGACTGCCTCCTTGGTCGCAGAGAACTGAACAGTCTGTTAGGCACTCCACAGATGGCGGGGTGAAGTCCCCAGCTCCTCTTTCTACTGTGTTTTCCCCTAGGTGTAGTCCCTGGGCCTTCCCGACCTTTCTCTTCCTTCTCCAGGGTCCAAAGCCTTTCAGTTCTCCCTATGCCAAACTGAAACCCAAAATAATCTCCTGGGACCCACTGGTTCTCTAACCAAGTGAACAGTGTTCAAAACACACTCCTCCATTACATCAGTTAGGCCTTTGTACTTCAAGCATCATATCAACCTTTATGGCTGGCCAGCATCCCCATCTTCTGAAACACATTGAAATAATTTCAGGTATCATGAGAAGGGATAATGACATTTTAGGAGGGCAAATTACCAGGCCCTAACTCAGCTGAATACTTTTGGTGTGGCCTGGAGTAAGAAGAGACCTCCCAGGATCTCTCATGCCCCAGTCTGCTCTCTAAGGGAAGGATGGAATTCTGGTCCAGAATGCTGCTGGGGTGGGGTGTGAACCCGGGTCCCTTCCTCTACATCTTATTCCAGGGCTTCAGAATCCTTCTTCTCCCTGCAGTCCACCCCTGTCCCTCTGGCCCCAGCCTCCCACAATAGTATTCAATCCTAACTCAGGAACTATGTTTTTGTATTAACATTCAATAATTTTCTTGGAAGCACAAACGTCTTTACTGACACACTGAAATTGCACACGCCCTGGCTCTGATATTATCCTACATCCAGCTTTAAATGTGTGGCAAATATATCCCTGCATCCTATATAACCACTCACCTTAGTACTGCAAGAACATCTGTAATCTTAAATGTTATCACACCTAAGAAACACCCAATCTCCTGAATCAGAATAGGGAGACTAAATTCTTCACTATCGTCTACTCCTAAATGATGATTATTCATACAATTTACAGTAGCTATCCCATAGCACCAGTGTGATGAATTAATGATAATTCATGCCAACTGTTTAGTACCAAGGGCCTGCTACATACAAAGTGCTTAAAATTTAGCTATTATCATTACATACATTATCTTTCACAACAGTACCTGCGGATGTACTACTCCACGCCTCTCGCCCCAAATATCCCCCTATTTACACTATAGCAGCCCAGGCGTGGAGCAAAGGCGCCTTCCCAAGGTCAGTCGGGCAGGGATGAGATGCTCGGCCTTCATCCTCCAAGTGGGGGACCCCTCCCGTTACACCCCTGGACGGGCAATGGGGGTCTTAAGAGACAAGTACAGAAAAGCGCGGAGCACAGAGCCTGGCACACAGTGGGGACTCCGAGATGGGAAGCCCGCGGCACTGAGGGTCGTGTGGATCCCTCCCAAGCGGCTCCCCCGGCCCGGGGGTCCAGAGCCCAGCCGCCCCGCGCCTCGGTGCGCCGCGGAGTCTCCCCGAGGCCCGCGCCCTGGGGTTTTGTTCGCAGCAGGCCGGCCCCACTCACCGAGTCCCATCGCGGCGCGCGCGGGCGGCCGCCCGGCGCCCGCCTGCAGAGCGAGGGTCGCAGCGCTCGCCGCACGCCCGCCATGCCGGCCGCCGCCCCGCACGCCCGGCCCCGCCCCTTCCGCGCCCCGCCCCGCCGCGGCGCCCGCACGGGAGCCTCCTACCTGCAGCGGCGGCGCGGCTGGCGCGGCGACCGGGGAGCCGGCGAGGCGCGGGCGCGGCGGCCTCGGCTCCTCTCGCAGGCAGGGCGGCCGGAAGGCCGCGGCTCCGAGCGCCGGGCGGCGGGCGGCGCCCGCCGGCCAGGCCCGCCGCGCGCGCCGCGGCCACAAAGCCCCAGAGCCACCGCCCGCCGCCTGCCGGTGGGTCGGCGCGGAGGAGCGCGGGAGCGCGGCCCGCGCAGTCCCCACTCCCCCGAGCTGCGGCCGCCGGCCTCCCGGGGGCCTGGGGCCGGGCGCGGGGTGCCCCGCCCACCGGCCCGTCCGCACTGACCCCGCAGCTGACGTCCCCCGGCTGGCATCCCTGTGCTGATTTCGTTCCCTCTTCCCGCCTCGGCCGAGGAGCTCCTGAAACGGCCCGAAAAACTGTGTTTTATTTCTACCAACAACAACAAAAGAATGCATTTGTCACAAGAGATTTGGCGGCCATGGCCTCGAGTTACTTCTGTCCAAGCCCCCTGACCGAAATAGGCCCTTTTCTTTTGGGACTCTGTGATATTTGGGACAGCCAAACCCCCTATGCTGAGTTTATCACAGACTTTTGTGTTGTTTTTTTTTTAAATTGGCGGAATGTGCCTCCCCTAGGTTGCGCGCTTCCCCAGGGCCGGGACCGTGCCCTCTAGAGCCCGGGGCCTGGCTCAGACATTGGGCGCCAACTCGGTGGGAATTAGTGCGTGTGCAAATGAATGCACAGAAGATCAAACAACTGTCAGGACAAGGGACCCTTTTTTGCCTCTTCCACAAGCATGGTGGCTGGGTGTTTCTTTTGCCCTGGATCTACTGGAAAGATTCCAAGCCCAGAGAGGAGCAGGCAGGTCTGTTTAACTTTTTTTTTTTTAATTGAGGTGAAATTTACATAATATAAAATAAACCAGTTTAAAAGAAACAATTCAGTGTTATTTATCACATTCATAATGTTGAGCAACCAACACCTCTATCTGGTTCTGAAACTTCCGTCACTCCGAAGGGAAATCCTGCACTCATTAAGCAGTATCCCCACAGTTCCTCCTTTCCCCAGACCCCAGCACCACTGGTCTATTTTGTCTCTGTGATCTACCTTCATCTGGGTACTTCCTATAAATGGAATCTTATAATATGTGGCCTTTTGTGTCTAGGTGCTTTGACTTCCATAGCCTGTTTTCAAGGTTCATCCATGTGGTAGCAAGGATCAGTATTTAATTCCTTTTTATGGCTGAATCATATCCCATTGTATGTATATATCACGATTTGTTTATTCATTCACCGTTGATGGTATTTGGGTTATTTCCACTATTGGCTATGGTAACCATGCTGCTCTGAACACATCTATTCATGTATAGGTCTGAAAGTACTTATTTCTAATTCTTTCAGATATGCACCTAGGAGTGGAATTGCTGGGTCATGTGATAATTCTATGTTTAACTTTTTGAGGAACTGTCAAAAAGTTTTCCATAGCAGCTTAATGAAGCATTTTATATACCCACCAGCAATGTTTGAGGGTTCCAAGTCCTCCATAACCTTATCAACACTTGCTAGTTTCTGTTTTTTGATTACTTGAACATTTTTAAGACCACTGCCTGCCCAACTGGCTCCCATCAGCCCTACTAGCTCCTACTACCCACAGCCTAAAATAAAGTATGATCCAGGTCTTTGACTATATACAAAGAAACACCCAATTCTGCCCCCTAAAGCAATTGGGGGCAGAAGCACTAATAAAAAGAAAGACCCTAGACTAAGAGCTATACTGGTCCTCATTCATTACTTTAACAATAATTTGTCTGGTGTCTGAGTGGCTTTGAAATTGTCCAGAGAGCCTGGAAACCGCTGAGGGAGCTGCTACAGTGTATTGGGAAACAAACTATGATACCCCACTGGAAGCCTAGGCTGGACACCATTTCCACTTGTTTTCCACTTAGTGCCACATTATAAGACCACAAAAATTTCCTTCTTAAATGAAGATACGGTTAAGAGAAAACTACTGGGGTATAAAATTAGGGCAATTGAGATCGAAACTTTGATTGATAAATGATACAGTATGGGAAAAGTACTAGATTTATGTGAACCAAATTAACCTCCTGAATCTCAGTTTTCTCATTCTCTAAGGTGGGAGTGATGATGCCTACCTGGCTGGATAGATGAAAGCTTATAGTCTTGACTTCAGTAAATGATCAGTGTTATTATTATTGATTTAAAATAATGACATGAGCCACATGTAGAAATGCTGCTAAGGAGACATGGAGAACTCATATGTAATCATGTGTCTCCTCTTCAAATTAAGAGAGTAGACTATCTTCACAACTAATATGGCAGGGTAACTACTCAGTCCTGTAATGTAGTTGCTTCCTTGCCGGCTCTCTCCTTGTTCCCTGACTTACTACAGCTACCTTGGACAAACTTTTTGACTCATCTGAATCATATCTGTAAAGTGGAATAATAATAACTACTTAGTAGGGGGTATGAAAATTCAATGAAATGTTTTATGTAAACAGCTTAGCACAGGGCAAGACACATAGAAATACTCAATAAATGTGAGCTGTTATTTTATTACCAATAATGAAGCCATTATAGGTGGGGCACGGTGGCTCACGCCTGTAATCCTAGCACTCTGGGAGGCTGAGGCAAGTGGATTGCTCGAGGTCAGGAGTTCAAAACCAGCCTGAGCAAGAACAAGACCCCATCTCTACTATAAATAGAAAGAAATTAATTGGCCAACTAACATATATATAGAAAAAATCAGCCAGGCATGGTGGCGCATGCCTATAGTCCCAGCTACTCGGAAGGCTGAGGCAGTAGGATCGCTTGAGCCTAAGAGTTTGAGGTTGCTGAGAGCTAGGCTGATGCCACAGCACTCACTCTAGCCTGGGCAACAAAGTGAGACTCTGTCTCAAAATAAATAAATAAATAAATAAATAAAGCCATTATAACTTATCTTTAGAAATAAAGTGTTTAAAAGAAAAAGGGCAGGGTCTACAGAGAGTCTAGTAAAAGAAAACCATAGACAATGGATCCATGTGGCTTGTGCCTTCCCCAAGTGCAAGGAGATCCATTCCCATGATGGAGATGAGTCTTGCATTGCACTCCATAGCTTGCTGAGAATAGCTCTACACATGGTCTCCCTTTTGCTAGGATCCAGGCTCACCAAGTGGTCTTGTTTGACATAGTAGTTGGTTTCAATGAAGTTTTCTTGAAGGTCAGAAAATGCTCTGAGCACTCAACTCGGAATACTCCAGACTTCTGAAAAAGTACATTTCTCTTTGAAAATTAATCTATTAGTGTTTACTTTATCTATCTGTCTGTTATGATTTTGACTGGCCAATCCAGTCTCCCCTAAAGTCTAAGTATGGGTATTAGAACCTCTTTCATCAGGCTCTTTTGTTGGCAAGGAACAGACACTCATCCAAACTTGCTGTAGGAGAAGGATGTTTATCGAATCTTAGGTGAACTGAAAGACAGGAGGATCTCACAGGAACTTGAAACTCCCTAGGGAACCAATTTTTCTATCATTTGAGGTCAATAATGTGTCTTTCTATGTCTTTGCCTCTCCAACTTTGTTAGTCCCTCAGTCTCTTTCTTTGTCTTGTTACACTTCTCTTTGCATATGTGCTCCATTCTCTCCTATCTCTCAGCCTGCTTCCTCTGCTTACTTGTCCTTCTCTTGGTCATCATGGACATCCCAGCCCAGGGTTAATGAGGAAAGCTCTTTGTCTCTTGGTTCGTATTTACCCAGACAAAAAATGATGGGCCTGGCCCATCATTTCAAGCCAGGACAAAAGCTGGCAGCCTATGAATTGACTGCTTTTGGATTAGAAGTCCACTTTTGATCCAATCAGCTGTTCTGGGGTGGAGGGGAGGTATCGCCCAGTACAAAAATAGCCACCCAGCACAGCAGGGCTGTAAGTGTGGGTATTCGCCAGAAGTTGGCATGTGTGGGTAGATACACAGAAATCATTCTATTAATATGACCATACTTTCTGAGCCAAAATTTAGGAAAAATAGTATTAAAATTATCTGGGATATACTCTCTGATGGTAAAGGCAATCTGGGAGATGTAGCTTAGATGCTGAAATATTGGAACTTCTGAAGTATTTTGATAGCTAATGACAATAATGGGACAAGATTTTTGAAATTGAGACTTTCCTGGAAAATCTTAGTCACTATACAATACCTACCTATACCTCAGAATCGTTGAGAGGATTAAATGAGTTTATATTTGTAAATCAATTTGATAGTTTCCATATAAATATTAACTATTATCATCACATAGTGGAGGACTGGATAGTCCTTGATCTATGCTGTTAGGCCTTCACCTATCCTGTTAGGCCATCCCTGACTACTAGTCAATCTGTCTCTTGCCACATTTCTCTTTAAAAACAACATCAAACAACAGCCAAGCAGGGGGAAGGATAGCTTTTAGGAAGCTCCAGGGAATGGCAGCAATGCCTCCTATGATTTTACCAGTATGTGCATAGAGCTGATCTTCTATCTCAACATCCCTTTCCCTAAGTTGGAGAAGAGTAAACCATTCTTCAGATTGCCAGATAGATCCAAATATCTTTTGTAAGACATGGGCATTGAGAGAAACTAAAATGCCTGAATCTATAGAATCCTGCTATCCAAGGAGCAAATGAGGGAAGAGGAATTTGGAGTGTTGAACAAGGGGCTACAGGTGGAACTGTGGAGAAACCAAAAGCTTGTGCTGAAAAGCAGCCTAGAAGAGTGGCAGGCCAGGAGATGGTGGGGGGACAGAGCCAAAATGAAATCCAGGCTTCGGGAAAATTCCAGGACTCATGGATTTCAAATGCCTACACTCCACCTTTCCCTGAGGCCCACTTTGTCGATTTTAAAATGGCTGGACTTGTAACATACTGGCCACTGAACTGGCTGGTGCCGCAGCAATTTGATGGTAAAGTGGTTTTGGTGAGCATATTCCAAGCAAACCTTCAATACATGGACTCTGGAGATTGTTACTATTTCTTTTCGGAGTATCTGATTACTCTAAATAATTGGTACCTAGGCATATTCGTTACTTATTACTATATAACAAATTACTCTAAAATGTAGAGGCTTAAGTCAACAAACATTTATTATAGTTTCTGGAGGTCAAGAAGCAGCTTAGCTAAGCAGTTCTGCCT